GAATGGCTGAGACGTTGATTGACTAAAGCTTGACTGCGAGGGTTTGGAAATACCACTCTCATAAGTGCATCTTCATCTTCCATAAAGCGCAAATAATTTAGAAAATGTTACCAATATCTCCACAATGAGCAAGTGGGCAAACCACAGAAGCCGTAAGGTTCCTATCCGGACGGCACAATTAGCACTGTTGGAATGTTTATAATTTCATATTTGACTATAGACAGATAATGTATTGTTCACTGATTTGTAAATTATAAAAGAAAGGCCTGCTATTGCTATATCACCTTACGAAGAGCGCTGTAACTAACTCATCAAGCGCCGTGGCTTCACATTGGAAGTATCATGCTCCCACTATGTGGTTCAGCCAAGAAAAAATATTTCAAATGGTCAACAATGATTGCACAGACTCCTTGTTCGATACTGGCCCCGAGATGTCCATCCTGATTATCGCCTGTTCTTGTAAGATAGGCTGCCAAATCGACAAGAGTGAACAACAAGAATGTATTGGCAATGGGGAATCTGTATATACTACGGAAGGACGTATCCGCATCAAGATCACCCTAAATGGAAACTTGATGTATATGATTAGGTGTGGGTAGGCTCTATGGTGGGCCAAGGCATAATTGAGGTGGAGTGGATTCCCAAAACTGCGTGATAAGACCATAAACCAGGGCTTGAAGGACCGCGGTCTACCGTTCAACGGTCGCTTTTCCTCTGTGGTCCTTTTTCTCTCCGGTTAACCGGTCCCTGGGTTCTCAACAGTTTAGAACCACTTCACCACATAATCTTCGGCATGTATGTCATGGTACCAGTCCAAGACATGAGTAAGCTAGACCAGATCATGTACTTTTAGTAGACTTACAGGTCGTACGCGGGAAGAGGATTAGTACCGTCGCTGTACAACGCTGCTTACAAGGCGCAAGCAGATGGACATATAGAACGCCAAGAATTGGTGGCGAAAGACGCTTTAGGCTATCTGTTATTGTACAGTGGAGAAATCTCGTCAACCTACTTGGTACTACATAGTACGCGCACGCCACCTCGGTGAAACGCGTCTACTAAATTCACCCCGTTTGAGGTCAATACATGAGGAAAGTATCCAATCTGATTGCCTACGAATACACAGACTACGATGGTCTGGATCAACAACCAAACTCAGAGTTTTGCTCTTAATTTCGCCAAAGATCGACAAGACCTAGTGCGCAACTTCTGTGAAAACCTGGAACTGTTAGAAACTATCGTTTTTGACAGGTTGGAAGGTGTTAAAGGCAAGGGTTATATCCTGTGCCTGGTGAGTTGCGACCGCATCTGATTGGCAAATAGTGTGACATATTGATGGATGTGATGAGGCAACGACGTCGCTACGTTGAACCATCTGGATGTTGTGACATATGAGACGATCGACGAGATACCGCATCATCTCACCAAGAGTTACAACAGATGGGACGAGGCGGGATAGACAAAGACTACAGACTAGACATGGTATAGTTGCATTTGATTATATCATACATGTTAAAGCACTAGCAAAGGAGAGCAGCTAATAATAAATATATCTTACTTTTACTTCTACCTACTCGTGCACAAGTGCATCACTACTTTACTCTACTCTTACAGGAACAAGCTCAGGAAAGGCAGAAAAAGTACTACGACTATTAAAGAACAAGCCTTACCTTTAATGTCGGTGACTTAGTTCTGCTGGATACCACTTAGGACAATTAACGCTTACATTAAATTAAATAACGCAAAGTTGGCGGGCCATTTGAGAGAATCAAGATGATTAACCCAAACCTAGCTAGGCTGAAGCTAATAAAATATGAAGAGACTGCACTCATTGCTAAAAAGTCGACCTACTTGCTCCATACAAGCCAAATGCCTCTGAGTTTGCTGGACGACCGGTTCCGACGGCATCACCGGTTCTCCTAGAATCAGCTACGAGATAGAAGCTTTATATTGTAGAAAAGTTGCTCCATCGTCGTCAGCGCAGTCGCCATATAGAATGTCTAGTAAAATGGCACGGCTCCCGAAGTGTGATAGTACTTTAAAACGTGAGAAAGCTATCCGCCACAATCTTAAACACTTATTTCTCAATAAATATCCGCAAACCTGGCAAAACTAACAAGTTCAATAGCCTTGACCTCGTTGAAAACGCTCGAATATTGCACTTGCAGATAATTGCAAGACCAAGTGGCACTTATTTTGTGCCTGTAAGAAGCACCCAGCAGCCATGATTTTGGAAGCAATTGTAAAAATTTTCATATCTAGTTGTCTAGCAGTTTCTGGAGACGCGAAAAGATGCGTCTTTTTTGGTAGCGCTAGGCGATGCATGGGAGGCAGCGAAGAGGTGTTTAGAGGGTCGTGGGTGACGCTAGAGAGTGGTTGGTGCAAGGAGGTTGCAGCTGGATAGAACAGCAAGAGAGACAAAGGTGAGAGATGAACACAGAATCTATTTTACCTTTTTACAACCAGTGACCATCCTTTGTTACAGCGATAAAAATAACCTTTTTGTATTGATTTATGCAGCAATCTAATGAACAATAGTGTCGCTTCTTTTTATTCTCAAAATAGACTGATTGCAGTGTCTATGCACACCTTACCGCACAGTGGTCGTCTATCACTATGTTAGAAGGTTCTCGAGCGTCAATGGATATGCTACGTGATCTTTGGTGGCATAACTAATCTTTTGTGCAAAAGCAGTAGCAGCTTCAAGCCGTTTAACGTGCCAAACTTTTGCCTCATATCGATTCGCTATCACAAAATCCAACAGAAACGCGCTCTATCCACCGTGGGTCTGCAAAAAATATTTTTCCATTGTCGTGCCGTTTATCGCCAATGGTGGATCTTTCACAGACAGGTCAGCAATTGGATATATAAGCGTTTCGTTGTTATTCAACTATTATGATGATGTTTTTCTGACCCAGGGTGTCTTGGTTAGGTACAAAGCCACGTAGCAATCGCCTATCTCTGAAACGGTCTGTCGACATACCCACTGTGGCTCATTTAGAACACAAATGCTGTCCATATTATAGATCACGATCGATAGATATTGATCGGAGCAGGTACAGACTCCGAAACAAAGTTCCGATACGTTGGAAACGGCCATATGCAGCTCTATGTCCGTAAAGAATTCAACACACGAATACGATTGAATGTGATGCATTCGTCTAGTTGCTACACGGCGGTTTGTGATAGCACCACCCTGATGGAGTATACCCAGCTTCACCTGGCTAGAGTGACAATATCCAGTATCATTTCTCTCCGATCTGCTTCACGACATTGTTTCAATTTGACCAAAGGTAGGTTGCTAGCATCAAGGATTGGAGCTTCAAGGTACAAGCAAGTATACCTTGTGGCAAACAATAAGCCGACTATTGTACGCGTAAAGGCTGCGTCAGCTCACATGCTTCGTTCGACAACTACAAGGGAAGGTGAGTGGTACCTTGACAGATTTGTAATATATACCTGGCTATTAACTTTCTCGACTTTTCATGGCGTAGTGGAATGTACAATGTTATCACCATCTTCATCCAAAACAGGAGCTGTCCTTTTGTAATGCTGATCGTGGTATAACATTACCTTGTGGTTTGTATATCTAAACATCATCATCATAGTGTCCAATACCTCTGCAAGTCATATAGCTCATGAAGTTTATGAAGTTTGTTTTACACCTATGACCAAAGATTCAGAAACAACATCATAGACCGTAATAGATCGGCGCACCGAAACAAACTCACACTAAGTAGCATGATGTGACAAGCATCGAAAACAACAGTATTTTGTTTGGCATGTGTGGTATTTGCGTGCTTCCAGCACGAACGAACGAAGTTGGTAGAATAGCACCCTTTCAAACACGAAAGGCTTATCTAAAGACCCATGTATACTAATGGGCACTTTTGAGGCTGATCACTTCAGTGATGACCAATAGTGTCGCTTCTTTATTCTTAAAATAGACTGATTGCAGTGCTATGCGCGCAATGGTCGTCTATCACTATGTTAAAAGGTTCTCGAGCGTTAGTGGATATGCTACGTGATCTTTGGTGACATAACTAATCTTTTGTGTAAAAACAGTAGCAGCCTTAAGTAACTTGAAGTTCCAAACTGTTACATTAGATCAATGCGCTACCATGAACCCAATCAAAGCACGCTCTATCCACCGTTGGTCTGCAAAAAAGAATTTCGATGGTTGCTGTCGCTTTTTCATTAACGTATTGAATTTTGACAAACGAGTCAGCAGTTCAGTACTTAACGTCTCGTAGTACTTGAAACGTTTTGCTAGTATCGAAATTTGGTATCACGACAATAAACAAGTAAGTCACGAAAGTAAAGTGACTGCTGCATTCGATGGAAAGCTTCATTATTCAAAAAGTTTTCGAAAGCTTAAGAGATCTTCATCCTCAATGGCTCCACAAAGCCGTACAGTATTGGACCAGGAGTTTGATGCACCTATGACTACCTACAAACAACTACAAAGTCTGCGACATGAGTCTCAAACCAAAGATCCATCGAATGTCGCTATGCAAAGTCCTTTGGACACTGCCAATCTCTGGTCCATTATAAGAATTTCATAGTTGCAACCGTTCGTGGTTGAAGGATCTAAAAACCTTTTGACTGAAGACAAGGTGTGGGAATTGCCCAAAGTGGATCAAGCTCAACGTTTACAAAGACGATTTAATGCCTCATGGACTGCTCAAGACCAAATCTTACGGCAAAAGAATGAAGAGTCTTACAAATATCCTAGAGTCCATGCGGCTATGTGGGCTGCTACCAAGGACAAGATGATAGTGGCTATGTGTCTCCTGTTAGTAACTGCAACACTTACTCTTGCCCAGCCATTCCTGATACAAGCCATCTTGAAGAACCTTATTGGTGAAGAGAATATCGTTGGCATCTCTTCTGGTTACGGACTTGCACTGCTCCTAGGCTGTGTGGCTTTTTGCGCAGCGACTGCAATGAATCTGGCCATGCTTTATGCTGCAAGAGCGAGCTGCAACGCCTAAGTCGTGATGGTGAACAGTGTGTTTCAGGAATTACTAAGATTGAGTGCGACGGCGAGACGTACAATGGACAGTGGAGAGGTGGTGACTCTAGCTGGAGTAGACAGTGAACGCTTCATGAAAGCGTACGCAATTGGTATATGGTGCATTGTCTCGCCAATTATCTTGGTCGCGGTGTGTATTTTGATTGGGACACAGATGGGTGTCTATGTTGGACTGGTGACCGCTGGTACAAGTGCAGCGATCGTGCATGCTGTCAAAGCATATTGGGGCCTACAGACGAAGAATCTCCAAGGTTAGTGCAAATCAAGTAGAATTTACAAATGAAGCGTTGGTGGGTATTCAAGCAATCAAGCTTTATGCATGGGAAGACTCGATCAACGAGACCATCCGGCAGATTTGTACTGAAGAAGTGACGTTGATGCGGCAGTATAACTATCTGCGCTTGTGTAACGCGGTGTTGATGTTTCTAGCACCGTCGATTATAAACATGATGTGTTTTATGGTATATATTCTATTGAGTAACACGTTGGATGCTGCGACGACATTTGTGATCGTTGCTCTCACAAATGCTTGCAAAGTCGCCTTCAGTATTTTCGCAAACTTTTCCGTTGCTGTGTCTGAAGTGATCATTTCAGCTCTTCGTGTGAAAGACTTCTTAGTGTCTGGAGATGTGGAGGGGAAATCACAGCTTGAGCTCAATCAAGGCCATGATACTGCCATTGTGTCCTTCCAAGACGCCGACTTTCAGTGGACCGAAGAAACTCCGGTACCAACACTTTCAAATCTAACGTTTCAATTGCAGACTGGAAGTCTCACCGTCATTGTTGGACCAGTCGAAAGTGGCAAGTCCAGCCTCGTTAACGCTATTTTGGGAGAAATGCAGCAACTCCGTGGTACGCGTGTTGTTCGTGGCAACATGGCGTATGCAAGTCAGCAAGCGTGGATTCAAAACCAAACTGTGCGCGATAACATTCTGTTCGGTGAGACTTACGACGCACAGCACTATCAACGTGTAATTGAGGCTTGTCAATTAAAACCAGACTTTGACATGCTAGAACGAGGCGATCAGACAGAGGTCGGCGAGCGTGGGATTACCCTGAGTGGTGGCCAGAAATCTCGCGTAGGATTGGCACGCGCCATGTATCGGGCTCGCCACTGTGATTTCGTCGTGCTTGATGATGCTCTCAGCGCATTGGACGTGCATGTGTCAAATGCAGTGTTTTTCTATGGCGTTATGGGGATTGCGCAGGGTTTGACTCGTATACTGGTGCTGAACTCGCACTATCATTCGTTGCAGTATGCGGATCGTGTGCTAGTGATGTCGAACGGTCAAATTGTGGGGGGACGGAACACTGGATCAACTTCAAGGCAAATTTTTGCTCCTGGAGTCTCCTTCCCCTGTCAACCAAAGCAATGATGCCGAAGAAATCAATACCAGCGCTTCGACCGTACATCAAGTAAAACACGAGCAGCCTATTGAAGCAGTGCTGATCAACGAAAAAGGAAGAGGGTTGAAAAAGCACAAAGCACCTAAAAAGCTGGTTGCTGAAGAAAACCGTCATGTTGGTTCAGTCTGCATACGAACATATTTGAACTATTTGGCTTCGTCGGAGTGGAACGGCTACGTGTTAGTCGCCACGAGTTTCGCTATGTTTACAGCGGCTCAAGCTGCCCTATTTTTCTGTGATTGATTTTTGGGCCAGTGGTCGAGCGGGGCTGTGGTTCTTGACCATAAGAACGCAATGGCTGTGTATGTAGAAATTCTTGTCACAGCCTTTGTGTTGACCTTAATACGATGTGTGTTCTATATGGAGACTTGTATGAGATGCTCTCGCAATCTCCATACCAGTTATATTCGCAAAGTGCTTGGAGCTCCCGTGACAACATTTTTCGATGTAACTCCAGTCGGTCGGATCATCAATCGTTTCTCGCAAGACCTTGATCAAGTTGATAATCCGTTGCCATACTTCAGTTTTATGCGATGCTTTACATTTTCCAGGTGGGCTCGGCATTTATTGTATGTGCTGCAACAAACCCATACGTGCTCATCTTGTATCTTCCAGTGGGATACGCCTTCACGAGCGCGGCTAGAATATACCAGTTGTCCGCCCGGAAATTGAAACGTTTGGATAGTATTTCTCGATCCCCTTTTTTAAACTTGGTATTGGAAACTATCTCTGGCATTGAGACAGTTCGATCGTCGAAAATGGTTGAACTATTCTCTGCTCGTTGTGAAGAGCTCGTGAATAACAACGCCAAGTTTGATCTGATGTTTGAGTCGACCACTCGGTGGTTCTGCATGCGGACCGACTGGTTGGTCTCAGTAATTATTGCTGCTGTTGCAATTCTCGCAATCGCTACAAAGTCGAGCATAGGAGCTGCTGCTGCAGGTCTAGGACTGACCTATGCGGCGCAGCTCACATCGTTTTTCCAGCGTCTGACAGCTTTAGTGACACAAGTCGATAACATCATGACGTGTTTTGAACGCATTACTCACTACGACGATCTCGACGAGGAGGGATGCCAGCGCATCTCAACTTACAAGGACGCACTTGATTCTGCTTGGCCCAAGACTGGTGACATTGTGTTTAATAATGTTTCCTTCCGCTACCGTGAGGATCTACCACTTGTTGTCATACTCAGTAGCAAGTGGTGAGAAGGTTGGCATTTGTGGCCGTACTGAATGTGGCAAGAGCTTGTTAATGAGTGTGCTGTTTCGTGTTGTGGAAATACCAACAAGTGGGGACGTTCTCATTGACGGTGTCAACATTGCTACCATTACGGTACGTCAGCTACGAACCAAGTTGACCATCATCTTACAGGATCCGATCCTTTTGTTAGCGATGAACTTGGATCCGTTTGGAGAGAATACGGATGCTGAGCTCTACGCAGTACTACGCAGGGTGCATTTATTGGGTACCATTTCTTCCTGGGGAAACGGTCTTGATTACCATGTGGCAGAGAAAGGCGGCAACTTGTCAGTGGGTCAGCGTCAATTGTTGTGTATTGCACGTGCACTCATCCGAGACAGTAAGGTGGTTGTGATGGATGAAGCGACTGCAAATGTTGATTTCGAGTCGGAAAGATTGATTTAGCAGACCATGAAGGAGAGTTTTTACGATGGCAAGCAAACTGCTTTGTGTATTGCGCATCGTATCGAATCGATTATGGACAGTGACAACATTTTAGTCCTCGATGCGGTTCAAGTGGTGGAATACAATAGTCCATCAGTATTATTAGCAGTAAAAGGAGGGGTTTTCAAAGGACTTGTTGAATCTAGTAAGGTGATTGAGACACAATAAGATACGATTTATTAGTTTTTAGAGAACAGTCCTTGTTCTGCGCTCCACGCTAATATTTAACTCAATATTTGCATCATTCTCATCGAAAAATATCACGAGTTGGGACTTGTAGAAATGATTTCTAGATGATATTGTCAATTTCATATTACAGCGAATGAAATATTCTATCACAACATGATCCCAAAATAAGTGACAATTACAAAATACAATAAAATAGGATTCCTACGGTAATGTAATAAATCCGTTCTTAATCTTGAGGTATTTTACACTCGGATTCCATTCGGCCATACAAACGCTGTATTTAAAAAACTCGGTGGCCATGGTATCGCCTCGTTTTTCAGTCTCCCGTTCACCGTCTCCACGTCGTTCTTCTTCCGCTGAGAATGTCCGTAAAAGTTCAATTTCTCGATCCCACTCGACGTCTCCTTCTCGTTCTACTTCCAGTTCGTTGCACTTATTTTTTATCGTGTTTTATATTATTTTTTATTTCTTGCGCTTTTGACGCACGTTTTTTAAATTTATTCGTGTGTGTTTTTGATTTCGTTTTTTATGGACTTGTATCAATATAAATTACCATTTGAATCAGATACTCAAGATGTACCTCCTGACAAGAACAAAACGTCTAGTATACAACCCATAACATTACGGGTTGAAAACCTCACGCGTAATGTAAATGCCGATCATTTACGTGAAATTTTTGGAAAATTTGGACTTGTCATACGTGTGGAAATGACAATTCCTCGTGGAAAAGCAAGTGCCATGGTAATTTTTGCTAGTCAACAGGATGCTGACAATGCCAAGGATCATATGCACGATGGATGGTTAGATGGTAATAAATTACGAGTATTGCTTGATACATGTCAATCTGAGACGGACCAAAGGGTCACAAATACTACTCGACGAACGGTGACGAAACCATCGGTATCACCGAAATCTCGTACACGACGTGGTGGACGCTTTCGATCACTTTCACCAGCTCTCGCCCGTGGTCGAAATCGATCGCCAATTCGTGGAGGACGTGGACGACGTGGACCGTCACCTTTTCGAGGACGTAGTCGAAGTTTTAATGCAAATCGTCGTGGAGGACGATCTCGTTCACCGGTGTTTCGACGACGTGCACCGTCACCGTTTCGAGGTGGACGACGTAGTCCATTAAGTCCGTTTAGAGGAGGACGACGACGTTCACCAAGTCCATTTCGACGTCGTCGTAGTCCAAGTCGAAGCAGAAGCAGAAGCCGAAGTTTTAGTAAAAGTCGCAGTCGAAGCCGTACGCGTCGACGTAGCCCCAGCCGAAGTGTAAGTCGCAGTCGAAGCCGTAGCCGTAGCTTTAGCAGCCGAAGTCGTAGTTCAAGTCGTGGACGAAGACGTCGAAGTCTCAGTCGAAGCCGTAGCAGCCATAGCCGCAGTTAAAAGTCTTTCTAACTTTGGGGGAGACAAAAGAGCTTGATATGCAACTGCAACTAGTTTCATCTGGTTATCAAGCATTTTTAATTACATTCGGCTTACTTCTCCTACCTGTCACCCTTTTTTTTAATGAATACACGTCGTTCATTTTTCTTCTTCACAAGTTGACACCATACTACGTCCTTGATGCCGTCGAACAAGAGGATAACGCAGCAGGGCAGAACTGTGCCTCCGGACAAGATCGTGAGCGTCATCGTTCGACATGGTACGGTTTTCAAAGCCGCTAGCCCGGTTGACTGCTGGAGGGCGACTTGTGCTGCCAGTACCAAATTCGCGTACACCGGATAACCTATCGATTGAAAGTCGACTGCGTCCACGTTGGCCTGAGGCCATCATGTTTGCATCCGAGCTGCGTGGTACGCCAGCAATAGAAAAGAAACGCCTTCGACCTTGACCATGGCGTGCACCATGGAAAACGTTGCCTGCCGATTGCCGTAGCGAATGAGACGCATCTGCATGCTCCATGTCATTTTCCTCTACATGTTGGTCAGTGTCTGACTCTAGCGACAGGCTATGGAAGGCCAACGAGCCGCGACTCCCGTGGCGACCAAAGATAGACCTCGTCTTTTTCACATTCCGGATAAATCTATCTGTTGACATGAAAGACTCTACCATGACACTCTCTGCGTCGTAGCTAAAAGCACTACCTCTTGTCGCTGAACGGCGGCCAACTAGCGGTTGAGAAGACATCACCACAGCAGGAGCAATCGGTTTGGCGACGCTTACGTCCTGCATACTCGATGTCAACACAGACCCTGTTGCAACGCGGCCAGTCTCGCCACCAACTACATCCTCAGGAATCTTTTCTGCAGGCGGGAACGTCAGCAACTGGTCGGCAATATGCGTCAGTCCATACGCGTTCACTTCCTGCGCCAAGTGCTTATACGACGGTCTGGCCGTCCGCATATAGCCCTTCCATGTAAAGTCGCGTGACAAAGAGGTAACGACGAGCAACGGAACCACCAGCCAAAACGCATCAACGCGGAACGTGTGCGTGAAAACCGCACTCCAATACGACGAGGCCACGGAATCACCACTCGAAATAAAGGCTGCCGTAGCGATCCAGAGCAAGAACGAGACGACGTAGATGGCAATGTGAATAGGCCACCACATCTGCTGGTGCAAACATAACTTCAGTGTCACCACAATCAGAACGATTGTGAACGAAGTGCATCCGTAAACCCACATTGTTGGAGTATCACCATTCACCACCAAGTATTGCATGCCGTATACAACGCCAAAACAGATAACAAGCGACTCCCACACACACGATGACATCCAAGCCCACACGACCTTTGTGTTAAACCTCGTGTTCTCCTGACCAATTCGGTAAAGCAATGGGTAGTTGTGCGCCAGAAACGCTGGAACATCCTGCTCAAAAGTACTAACCAGAATGATTGGCAAAGATGTAAAGAGCAAATTGTATCCCTGCAGTCCCCATTCAAGATAGAACTTCTGCCCTGAATAGCCGGTGTAGATCATGTACCAAAATTGCGTCAGGTTCAGTATCACGTTCTTGTAAAAGATGTACAGGATAAGCTTGCCCATGCGGACGTAGTTCCAGCGTCCATAAACAAGTAACAATCGCGAGAGAAACCTAAATTGAGCAATGGCATAGTCCGACGAGTTGGCTGCTTGCATACCTTCCTGGCCAGAAATGCCAATACCGACGTGCGCCGCTTGAATCATCGATACATCATTAGCACCATCACCGATAGCTAACGTTCGGATTTTCGGATTGTTGTCACGAACCAGTCGTACGAGCTGCGCTTTCTGAGCAGGCGATACACGGCAAGCAATCACGACCACACACTTCTCCGCTACCTGCAATAATAGCTCAGGACACTCTTCCAGCGCCAACTCTAGTGTTTCACCATCAATTATCAAAGCCAAGTCCTGCTGAGGTCGCTCGGCCATACTCTCGATACGAGTCAGCCTTTTGTGCTGACTTCTGAGCAAGACCGAGCTAGTTTGTGCCTCTGAATGAACCGAAAAGGCACTCGGCGCACCACATGTTGACGCTGTTGTATCTTCGCTGTCATCCTTGTGGGCATACAATTCCAGCTCATCCTTAATAGCAGCCAAGTCAGCATGCGTATCCGCTGAAATTACGATTCGTTCAATATCTGAAGCCAATAACCGGCAAGCAAAGCCAATATTGATTGCCGTCTCTTCCTTGTCACCAGTAAGCATCCATATTTTGATCGATGCCTGCCGCAACTTGTAAATAGTGTCGGGAACGTCAGCTTGCAATCGATCCTCTATAGCTGTAGCACCCAAAATGTCCAAATTAACCTCAATTTCCTCCATCAGCCGGTCAATGTCGTTTTCCTCGCCATTGCGACGCAGATCAATCTGACGCATATCGTTAATTGCTGTACGATATTTGATTATCCACGACTCTAAAAAACGCGAATCAATGTCCGTGGAACCAATCACTAAAGTTCGCAATCCCTCAGACGCAAACTGCTCCATGTGTTGTAGCGTCAAATTACGCGTATGCTTGATAGCCGCGTCATTGGTTGGTCTCAGGCGTTCGTACATGACAGTATCTGCTCCCTTACACAAAAGCTTCAAATCTCCGCTTGGCCCTTTGAGGATAACGGACATACGTTTGCGCGTGCTATTAAATTCGAGAACCTCGAGAATCTCATAAGTCTCTACAGAGTGTTCTGCAACGGGCTGATTACAGGTCATTCTCTCTGGATGGTCAATACAAGAAAAATACTCCACCATCGCCTTGCCAGGTCCACGTGCCACAAATTTAAAACCAAAGCAAGCAGCCGCAGCAACTAACGCTTGCTCATCAGGAGAAGATGCACTCAAGCGCAAGCTATTATCTGGGGCCTTCTCTGGCATCACTGTGTGGCATACTGCCAGGTGCTCGAAAAATGACTCAATGGCCTTCGCCTGGACACTATCCTTTTGTGCCATTGCATCAAAGAGCGAATCGTCTTGGTAGCTCACGAACGGTGCTTTCACCACACGATCGATTGTAATGCTGTTCGAGTCTAATGCAATATTATCAACACCATTTTTCCGAGATGAAACTGCGGAACCACCACCAGGAGTCACAGCAAAAAACGAGGACGTTGATGGTCCTTCTTCCTGCCGACGTTTTCTCGCCGCAATGCCTATCTCTGTCTCACCAAGTCCATACGCCACCCCATTAATAGAGCACTTACGGAACTCCATAACGTTGCACGTCAGTGTGCCCGTCTTGTCCGAAAAGATATAGTCAATCTGACCAAGTTCTTCATTCAAAGACATCGTGCGTACCTGGCACGGCGTGTCAGTTTCCTCATGGTACATCTCCAGATCGTTGTTCATAAAATACGACTGCATAAATTTTACCGATGTCATACTCACGTACAACGACACGGGAATGAACGAGTTTAGCAACAAAAAGTAGTACAGTACCATAATAAAGAAATTTCCAACGGGTGACGTGACAGACACCGAGTTTCCATCATACAAATACCACGCCCCCTTGTGCGGCTCCTGATCGAGGTTTTTACTATTCCAAGCCGTTGACAAAATAGTGCCTGCAAGACACAGCACCACCATGAGCATACAAATGTAGAGAATTTGTCTGTTAAGGCATCTTTCCATATTGCTCCACTTCATTGGTTCGGATGACGATGCCATCATAATTTTAGTGTCAGGACCAGTATTTACCACAAGACCGTAAATATACTCGGTATTACGTAACGTCGAGCCTCGCAGGACAATTGCATTGGTCGTAATCACCTCTTTCTTTCCTCCTTCTAACGTCATGGATCCACTAAACCGATGGATTGAATTATTTGGCATCTCACACACGACCGTTCCTTTTAAATCGCCCACGGCAGTATCATCCAATAACACTGTATACGTTGCTTCAAGTCCCTGTCGAAGTTTCAAATTGGTTTCGCCATCCAATGATTTTGTTTCAACATAGCAAATCCCCACTGGATTTGTCGGATCGGGTTCACAGGCTCCTAGAATAATTAAATCCGCTGGTACTGGATCTCGATTTCCAATTTTCACCACATCACCGACTTGTAAGAAATGCCACTTGGTCAATTCAAACCGACGTAATTTTCCATTATATTTCTGACACATGAGATTATTTGCAATTTCATCCGCTTGATGTCGTTTATAATCTTCCATACATGCAAAAAACATGTCAATCAAGACAATAATGGATAAAGCTGGTAACGAAGCTGGAAAACCACCGGTATTTGAAATTGGTTTAATCGTCTGCAAAATTGAAATAATTAGAAAATAAGCATTGGCAAGTTTACTAAATTCATAAAATAACAATTTTGGTAGAAAATTGTACACGGTAAAACGACTTGTAATGACCAAATTACTACAATAGCCCAATGTACCATTGGTGTCCGGATCATTTAAGTAAATAATTCGATACGTGTCCTGTTCGACATTCTGAAACTTTATATTCTTCTTCGTGTTCGAAATACATTCACTCTCGTCACCTTCCACGACATCCACGACTTGAACATCCACGAGATCACTACCTAATAGACTATTACCTTCAATATCATGTCCATCTACTTGTGACAATGATTGATTTGAATTTAATCGTGCATAAGGTGCTGTAGGAGTCTGATTCTCATCTTCACTTGATGGTGAAGATGATGATGATGATGATGAAGGCATGGCTTGTAAGTTATTTGAGAGGTAGTAGTAGTAGTAATGGTAATAATAGACAAATGCTCTTGTCTGACATAATATGAATTTTAGTTTTGCTGAACAAACCTGTTTATTTTCATATCGTACAATTGTTAGCATTTAATATAAGAAAGAAAAAGAGTAAACCAAAATAAAACCCCTTCAAATCCGTTGATTGGTTCGGGAAGAAAACAGACGACAACTCAGATTCTTTGAGCTGAATACACACAATGGAATATAAAAGAGGCTACAAAGAAATGGTCCTGATCAAGTCAGACGCACTAATAATAACAATAATACTCACGATCAGAGTGACTTCTTGAATGTATGTCTTGACCTGATAAATAAGACGTCAAAGTGTATTGTGACATGAGAAGGATTGATTAATTCGTATACGTAATATACATGAGGGAAGAAGTGACTGATAGTTAGTAATATCATTTTGTAGAACCTCTTGAAATGGATTGATACGGTATTAAAGTATAAAAAGCGGCGGCATGGGGGAGATCAGAAATGATGGGGTGGTGCTTTGCGATCATTTCGGGGTGTTTAACATCATCAGTTTTGTACCATTAGTCTTACCATATGATATGTTTATATTACGTAAATTGTATGGAGCAACAACAACAGTAGGAACGACGATTATACCTTGATCAATGCTTGAGCTTTTTCATATACTAGACGAAATGTACGTGATATAAAACCTTTTTTGGATTTCAATGCCGTCAATGAAGAGTGCTGCAACAAAGATGTTGCCCAGTCGATTAAATAGCATCAAGTATTTGATTGAATATGGAAGTATAAGGCCGTATATATCAAGATCTCATTTCAAATCATTGCAGTATTCATTTCCCTTCTTAACCGAATCAAATATTCATCACTCACTTGTCTGTGTAGCAAGCAACTGCTGACCCCTACTTATCTCATGGGCTGTCCCATATATACTTACTATTGCTCAACATATTTCTTTCTCAGAGATATCGGTATCAATCATACTTTTGCAATTATATGAATCATCATTATCATAGTCCATGACGTGTATGAATAAGAAGGAATTGATATGCATTTCTTCGTAGTAATTGACTCACTTGCATATTACTTTAAACTGCGTGCTCCGAACTATCAAGATAAGAAACTTACCAGATAGAATGCTTGCAATGGATACTTTATGGCTCAAGGATGTATCATAGCACAGTGTTTTTACTGCAGTTTGTTAGCACTCACACACACATCCCTCTGAGCGCTTCACTATGTAAGCAGCATCGGTGCATTACAATTTCATGCAAGCATTGAGACGATCTTGTTTGACGTCGATCATGCATAACTTTAGTCGTGTAGCCAATAACAATGTATGATCAATGTTTATGGTTGAACATACGACTAGATCACAGCCGAGGGTGAAGTTTTTGTGGAATGATAACGCATTTACATTTAATATGGTGCTACCAACTAATTGCCACGGAACCAGATAGTTTTCAGAACAAATGCATTTGGGTGGTGGTTGTTTACTCTCTTAACCCCAATAATAGTAAATCTATGTAGTAATACTCAGTTTCATGCTTCCACTACTAACTATAGTAAAATAAGGATTATTTAATGTATAGTAGTAATTTAATATTTGCCTATACTAGACAACAACTTCAATTACTCCTTAGGACAATTATGCCATCACACAATTATTGCTCTTATATAAATACTATTTATCATTCATTTGAAACGTAAAGGTGATATGGAAATTAAATACTATCCAAAGCGCAATTTGTTGCTAGATATGAATCTGTCCACATAATGATACGATCAATGGGACAGTTGTTGATTTTCCGTTCTTTTGCTACGGTTTCATGACTATTAATCGTGTAAAAGCCAATGAAATGGCTAAGAATGCCTGACTTTTAGCACTTCCATTGGCTTTTATACCAATGGGCACCTTGAGGCTGATAACTTAAGTGATCAGCCTCAAAAGTGCTCATTAGTATACATGGGTCTTTAGATAAGCCTTTCGTGTTTGAAAGGGTGCTATTCTACCAACTTCGTTCGTTCGTGCTGGAAGCACGCAAATACCACACATGCCAAACAAAATACTGTTGTTTTCGATGCTTGTCATATCATGCTACTTAGTGTAAGTTTGTTTCGGTGCGCCGATCTATTACGGTCTATGATCTTGTTTCTGAATCTTGGTCGTTGGTGTAAACAAACTTCATAAACTTCATGAGCTATATGACTTGCAGAGGTATTGGACACTATGATGATGACGTTTAGATATACAAACCACAAGGTAATGTTATACCACGATCAGCATTGCGAAAGGACAGCTTCTGTTTTGGATGAAGATGGTGATAACATTGTACATTCCACTACGCCATGAAAAGTCGAGAAAGTTAATAGCCAGGTATATATTACAAATCTGTCAAGGTACCACTCACCTTCCCTTGTAGTTGTCGAACAAAGCATGTGAGCTGAAGCAGCCTTACACGTATAATAGTCGGCTTATTGTTTGCCACAAGGCATACTTGCTCATTCCTTGAAGCTCCAATCCTTGATGCTAGCAACCTACCTTTGGTCAAATTGAGACAATGTCGTGAAGGAGGTTGGAGAGAAGTGATGCTGGATATTATCACTCTAGCCAGGTGAAGCTGAATATACTCCATCAGGGTGGTGCTATCACAAACCGCCGTATAGGAACTAGACGAATGCATCACATTCAATCGTATTCGTGTATTGAAATCTTTACGGACATAGAGCTGCATATGGCCGTTTCCAACGTATCGGAACTTTGTTTCGGAGTCTGTACCTGCTCCGATCAATATCTATCGATCGTGATCTATAATATGGACAGCATTTGTGTTCTAAATGAGCCACAGTGGGTATGTCGACAGACCGTTTCAGAGATAGGCGATTGCTACGTGGCTTTGTACCTAACCAAGAAACCCTGGGTCAGAAAAACATCATCATAATGATTGAATAACAACGAAACGCTTATATATCCAATTGCTGACCTGTCTGTTGAAGAAAGATCCACCATTGACGATAAACGACTAATGATGACTCTCGTTTTTCAGTTCGATGCTCGATAAAGCTTGGAAAACCAACGCGTTTATTGTAGTCATTTTGCAATTTGCCTCGTACTTCCAAGCAGTATTCAACAAAATCTATCTTACATCGAGACAATACAGTACAACCAACAATGAAGACGTATATTGCTATCGTTGCTTCAGCTCTGATCGTGGCGTCCACGATAAATATGGTGGCGGCCAAAGAAGAGTAGATCCCAAACGGGTCACGATTTGGACAGTCTCTTGGACACGAAGGTACTTCAAATTATACTGCTTTTGGTACGGCATTTCAAAAAGCGGGCTTCAAGTGGGACGCAATCTGTCATAAGACTTTCCCTCGTGCCTCGATAACAGCGGGACAAGCTCTCGGCGACCCATGCTGCACGTGGAAGGACCTCAATTCGAGGTAAGTTGGACTAAGCATTCCGGTGAAAGAGCGAAATGCCCTTCTAGTGACTCGGCAGAAGGGGCCGCTTCGCCGCCAAAAGGCGGGGAGCCTGGGAGTACTGGTAAACATGGGGCCGGTCTCCTTGGCTTAATCGCGCCTGGCTCAAGCGGACTTGAAAGTGCTCTTGCCAGTGGACCTTCCCCTGGTGAGGGGCATTAGGAGCCAGGTGTCGAATCTGCACTGGACGCCAGCCTTCCTCCACCACTAGGCTCAACCGAACCGTATGGTAAGGGGCCTCCTCCCTCGGGCGGGGGTTGTGCTGCGAAGCGTGCTCGTAAGCTACGTCATTAAACGAACTCACGTTTACCGGGGTCATCTTTTGATCTATGGATGTTAATGTCGCCGAACAGAGAGAACAAACTATCTTGACATTGTCGTAATTGAACAAGCCAGCCATTTTTGAGATACATTTGAAGTCGTCACCTTTAATTGCTCAGGTAGAAGTAATTTTTATCAGGATCGTATTGTGGTCCGACAATATCACCTTACCCTTGATACATGACTAATTTTTCTTGTAGTATTGTGTCATTTCCTCACAAGATGCTACCATCGTGATGGGTATGACACCCTGCTGTTTACAGTAGCGATGATCAAAGCATTCATTCAATTTGATGAGCCTTAGTACTTGTGCAACGATACCGTAGCTCTTTGTAACGATGTTACACACCTACCATATTAGAGGCAGCTCGCCACTTTAACTCAAAACGGCAGCGGTGTTGGTGCTACAATATAATGGCAAAAGCTATAGCTACCCTTGCTTTGTGCCTCTTACCACTGCTCCCCTTCACTGTACAACCACCCAAAGACAGAGTAAATGCTGGCGCAGGAGCGTTTGTTGTAGTAGGAGCGTATGCCGTAGCAACAGCATTCATTGCAGCAGAAAATGCTTTCATCGTAGCCGGGGGAATCTGTGGCTGTCGACGTCAAACTTAAGCATTATCTATAGTGTTTGACAAAACCAATGACGAACGGGTTGCATTCCGCGACCCGCGCTGTACCTTAAAAAGCTGCATTGGACAATCAGAGATTGTCCAGCGTTGAGGTTAACACAATGACAGACATGCGGATAAGCTTGGCAGAATTAGCAAAGATAACGAAAGTGTCGCAACAGCAGCCGTCAACGATAACGAAAGTGTCACAACAGTAGCCGTCGACCGGTTGAAGGGATCTCCGTGCTCAGAGTCAATTGAACGTGTGATGTCCAGGGCACTACTGTCGCGTGGGACGTACAGAATTGCGTTACCTGGCGTCTTGGTAAAAGTCGTCGCCTAGGCTTAATGATGTAAAATACTAGGTTTAATGATGTTGAATACATGGCGATCTAATGGTCAACATGATCAACATACCGTTGTCGGAGATGCTTTGTTACAAGCACCCATTTTATCAAGTATTCACCGAGATTAAAGGCTTCAGGTAAGCCTGTAGTATTTATACCGTACTTGTCAAGTATTCATGTGCTGATGGCATAGGAAAACACTGAAAAAACTGCCGTGTGGGTAAGTGTTTGTTCATGTGTTGGTGGCAAACGACCACAAAGTTGTGTGAACATTGTAAGAGCTCAATACCACCGTTCGCTGTCATCGATGCCTATGATATGCATACTACGCTACCTTCCAGCCACAATTTGATACATAGAGTACTGCAGCAATGGTGAGACTCATATCTTGTCAAGCTTATACACTTTTGCGAGCGGTAAGAAATATCGAATGCCACATTAACAAAGTGTCGACGCTTTAACATGCGCATTAAGAGATGGGGTCTGCTTGCTTTTCTTTTCAAACAATCGCTCGTGGTTCTAGAAATAACCTGTCGTTGCGGTAAGACAAGAGCTTGGTTGGTTATCAGCTTGGCAGCTAAGAATCCTAAACCTAATGAGGAGATATCTGTGCTGATGCGCTCAGAAGACAATGATGAGACTTTATGCTACGCGAATCCTGCTCTATCAAGGTCATAATGTAGCCATAACTGCAGAATATGATAGAAAAGATCACCAAAACTCATTTATATAAGGTCGATCAATATATACTGTAAAACCAATATATAGTTTCAAGAGATTGGGTAATGCCATTACGACCTAAGAGCTGCTAAAGCTAACAAGCAAGATGAGTTCATCTTGATGCGTCACCATTTGACGAAATATTTGTTTCCCAGCAATGATGCGGAACAGAACAGCAGCACGTACAGGCTCGTGATTGTCAGAACAATGAAAGGGACTGGAAAAACCCAGAGCGAAGCCAGAAGTATTCCAGCGGCCGGGTACATAATTGCGAGGCCGACGAAACTTAATGCATATTAAAGTTTAGACACAACAACGCCTGGAATCATGTGGATCTCACAAAAGTAGCTATTCCAACTGCCAAGAATGCCAAGGCGAATCCAGAATCCAAAGTTTGAGCTCCAACCTTCCCCTGGGTCCTGTGTAGAGGTATGCATTCCTGAAATAAGACAAGAACTGCCATAGGTAGTGGGGTTTCGATGCATACCATCAGGGCTCGTGCAAATGATGTGTTTCGAGTGTATTCTTCCAATGCAAATAATCGTTCGATAAAGTACTTTCCGCCATAGCTGATCTGCATTGTACGATACGCTTGAAGCAATGAAACTCATTACAAAACCTGGATATCAAGGTTCATTTGGCACTGGCGGTGGTTCCATGTAGGATGTCGGCGGATATTAATTTGGGCATTGCAATCATGAGGCAGGACATCATCGTGAAAACACAAAAAACGGTGCCGTCCTAGAAGTGGATTAACAAAGGAGATGTAACCGGTGTTCGGTTTACTTGATCTCGCAGAAACGACCATTTGCATGGTGGATTATTGAACGGCAGGTTAACGATGTTGTGCCATGCTGCAACTCTTGGCCTCCGGTCAGTACAAATAAAGTGGTTAGCGTTTGAGTTCCAGATGAAGTAATTTTTTTTGATTGAACTCGTCGGTGAGAACTTCAAAGATGGAAGCCGAACCAATTTCTTGCTTCTTTCACAATCTACAGTCAATACTCGTTTTCCAAATTAAACGGACGCAGAGAAGCTACCTTTGCCTGCTCGATCTCACTAAAATGCACAGCACACAAGTACAAAGTCATTAACAACAACTGATCAAGAGGCATTTGAATTGATGCGTTTTCCAACGCCTTTTTCGAATTTTGTCGTTCACGTCATGTGGACATGCTTTTAAGTGGAAACCCATACAGACTAATGGTCTGATCTGGAACCACTGCCGAGAAGCGATATACATGCTAACACATTTGCGCGTGAGATATAGTACCACATATTACCGTTTGTAAGATTGCATCTCGAGTCAGAACACGTTTAGTATGGCGTTTAAACATTTCTGTCATCATTGCTGCTGACATTTTGTTGACAAGAGAAAACGCTTTACCACGGAGCAACTTGCAGCACAACTGTCTCTGCAAAGTGGACGCCCAGAACACAGTTCCATCTCATAAAAGTTGTTAACTATCTTATGGACATTTCTTGTGCATGAGTGAGGCACCGTGCTCCGCGTATTCGGCCTTGGACATCCACATTTCATGAAACGACCCCAATGACGCTAGAATTGAACCACCAAGGAAAGCACCAACGCGACGCTCCTGCTGGTGCGCCGCAACTACCTTCACGCGCAAACTGTTAGGAAACCCGCCCGACGCACCGTTGTTTCCAGGCCCTGTCAGGGACAACGGCATACCGCTCAATCTCGTCACCACTTCACGTTCAATTCGGGTTGGCATGTTCTCAAAACACGAGCTGCCCCCCGTCAGCACAATGTTCTGAAAAAGTTCTTTACGTAAATCAGTCTCTGTCGTAACTCCTCCTGTTTCACAGATCAACTCTGGGAGTCGCATACCGGGAGCATTAACTGTGGAGCTTCTTGCAATACTGGATGTCACGTTGTTTGCAGAACTTGGCCCTACTTCTTGTAGAAAATAATGCTCTGCCACACTAAACCGCTCAGTACCCATCGATACAATGGTCTTATCAGGCAATTCATAACTAATAAGTGGTAATTGCGCATTCTGCGCTTCGTCAAACGGTCCGTCAGCTGCACGACACAGTCCACTTTCCTTGGCTTCTACAACATAGGACCACGCTTGCTTCTTCCTCTTGGCAATTTCCATCTCCATGGATGTTGTTACTGCTCTTTGCTCTAAACTCTGAACAATTTGCGGTGCTAACTTGAGTCTCAAAAAGGCATCCAAATCATGACCACCAAACGATACCATCTGACTCTTAGGGTATGCAAATGCATAACCTTCATGAACCGACGTGACGCTAGTATACGTTGCTCCCATTTCCACTACGAGGCCACTGGTCCTAGCATTCGCATAACAAGCTAGGACGGCACTTTTTGAACCAAATAGTGCAGGGACCCCAAGTTCTTCCATAATTACTTCCACCATCTGTTCTCGGGCTTTCAGGTCCCTTTTCTTGCTATTGCTACTGGCCTGGAGTATCTTGGTCTTGGACTTAGTCATGGCTGAGACGTCCTGCTTATCCTGATCCTGTCCTATATCGTCTGTCACATCTTCTGGCAAAGGAAATGGTCGTTCTACCAATAAGAGCGGATGTTCACTGAGTTTCGTCTGGAGTCTAGAACAGCTGGCGTCAAAAAGCCATTGGGCTAATTTTTCTGGGTCACGCTCGATCTGCGCCGATCTGTAACTCAGTCGTCGGCCTGAATCATGATCGTCCTGCCCGTCCTCAAATGGTATAGGACGCTCGTAAACACGCGGAAAGTCCTCACCAGCGTAGCCAAATTTACATTTTGATGTGCCAAACTCAAACACTAGTGCATCCAGGTCGTTTTTCTCTGTTGTAGCACTCGAAAAGGGCACATTACCAGCACCATGATGGTCGCTTTCGTTTGCTCCACCTCCTGCATACATGGTTGTTTGATCCAAAGACTATAATATAATTGTGGATCGAATGTTGTACGATTATGTGTAAGAAACACCAAATAGGATGCTCTGAGAACCATATATTTTCGTCGATACGTCTTGTCCCTCTTAACCATGTAAAAGCAAATCCTTCTTTTCAAGCTTTATGAATACTTCCTTCAATATAACTATTCCCAGTTTGAACCCATGAGTTGTTTCAACTGTTAGTTTGTAGCTTGCTTTGTTTTCAAGTTTATCTTAATGTACATTGATTTGAAGATTGGTTCGCTTACATCTCTCGACCTACAACTCGAACGAAGCCTATAGAGTAAGATTCAGCTGTAATTGCTACGACGCAACACCATTTTACGAACGGTCAAGAACACAATCTTGATGTGTGAGCTACGCGACATGTCCCAACCATTAACTATTAAGCCGTATACACGATGTTTCAACAAGACATCATAGAAAGATTGCGGGGAACAGCATATCGATCGACTGCATCATTCATTGTAGACATGAAGACGATAACACACCTGCTAACTAATCAGACTCTGCCCTACATTTTGCATATCCAATAACAGCATAAACCTGCGACGTGAATTCCTCACTACAGTTGAGCTCAAGCGTTTACACAGCTCCTTTGTTGCACGCGTCCCTGCTTTGCTTGAACTATGGCGCAAGTCATTAACTAATGTGTGCAGTTGTGCCCATCTGGAAACATTTCCCGTCTGCAACTTTTTTTGCTGAGCTCGATACCACACAATTCAATTCTCCGCGCCCAAAACAGTCATGCGTATAAGACTCATCATACTTGTGGCCTCGTCGGTCGCTCTTCTTACCACGACCAAGGGAAACCTAGCATCTAAGGGCATGGTGGGTGAAAAGACCAAGGCGATCAATGATGAGCAGATTGTCAAACGTTCTCTAAGGAATGAGAACATAAGCGATTCGAGTGCGGTCAATGATGAAGAGCGAATGATGAACGCTGAAGGCAACAAAGCTAAACTCGTCGAAGACATTGTGACTCACTTTAAGATTAATAACGAAAGGAACTTTGATCCAGATCTTATCGAACGTGTTATAGTGAAAACTTTTGAGCGCTATAAGAAGGTTTTTGACGAAGTTGAACCGAAAAAAAAGAATTTATACTTCGTAAGATTGATTACTTGACTGGACCTAACGTTAAACCTGGTGAGCTAAAAGATGTAGCAAAAAATTTGATGGAAAATCACATAACTGCTCGGGAGATTGCGAGTGTAGCAAAAACCATCGATCCGGAAACCAAAGAAAGGAAACAGGCCGACTATCTGCTCCTAATGTACGATGGATATCTGCGATCGGAGGCTTCAGCATCCACTCCGCGTGCCAATTCTCCGAATGGGTTGTCTTAATGTCATGCCGCAGTCAAAGCTAGAGCCGCCGCACTTTTTGCATTCGGCTCTATTTACATCACAATTGAAGGTGTAGTTGTTGCTGGCAAAAGTCGTAGTACGATTGTTATTGTTAACACTTAATACAACTACGTGATTTGCTCCTCAGCCAAGCTAGAATTGTGTTCTTGTTGCACTTGTCATCGTTAACTGTTTGCTTTCCTCGTAGCATTATGTCGTCTACATCGTTCAAGTGCACAGATAGCATTATAGCCCGACATCTTCACCTTATCCGTAAACACAGCGGTATGCGTGATTAAACAAGTACTAGTAAACACGTTATCGCCGGAACACCACAAGGTGGTCAATAAGATATTAAATGATCCGTTGGAGACTCATGAAACCTTGTCCGAAAAGGTAGCGTTGTCCAACTGGTGCAAATGATTGATTAATTAAGAAGCGCAAATGTGGTGACGCAATGTGATTACTGCAATGATTGAGCATCAAACGTAGCTGCTAGCATATAGTAGAATGGTCAAAGCAATGGGCACTGTTGCAAGAATGAATGGCTACGAGTTTCAAACAAAAGAAATGTTTGGAAGGCACGTACGGTGCTGTATGGTATATGTCCATTAGGAATACACATGTTCAAAAGAGCTATATATGTGCAACATTTTAACTCCTTTACCTCCATTTGTTTTGTCACTAACGTAAGACTTAGCTCAGAAAAGTTTATGCCTTGCTTAACGAGTGTGTTTGTTTTCTACTTTCAGACTAAGATGTATCAACTGACCTTGTGCAGTAGCCGTACACCAGGAAAAACAGTACAACTATGTCAGCTTTTTGCTGTTTGCTTTGATGACGAAAGCATTCAAAGTTTCTTCGTTTCAATTGTCCTGCCACAAAAAGTCACGTTACTCACTCTTCTTTGATCACTATCGGCGTCATGCTGCTGATCTTTGCACTCCGTCGCACGATGCTTCACTATATTATGTTGGACAGCATGGCACAGCACCAACATGAATGGATTACTCCTTGTAAAGGGCCTGTTAAAGCTCAATCCATCCAAAAAAGAGCAGTAGGTCACATCGATGAAGAGCCCAGAAAGTATCAGTCAAATCACGCAATTAGATTATTGACTACCAGGATATTATTACATGTTGTAGCCTTAAAGTCAACGCGTGTAGAGGCTTCCTACTTATTATGAGCACAGTGATTGATGCCGCTTCATGGAGTGCTAAGTATATATATGCAGAGAAACCGTAGTGTTGTTAGCTCGAGAATGTAGAGTCACTTGAACAGCGGTCTTTCAGTATATGACAAGCAACATTAAACGACTTTACTGTAGATGCCATGAAATCTAGACGGAAGAGAGGATGCAGCTCGAGAAATCGAGGTCTCCAATGCAATTCTGTCATACGAAAATCATTATGGTGAATACTACAATATACCTGCACGAGACTCAATATAGGTCGTGATTCGTCTGACAGCTACATGACTATCGTTTTGTACGTAGCACTAAGCTATGTGACGTGTTGATGAAATTGCAGCAAAATTGGTAAGAAGTTTTGCTTCTACGTGCTCTTCAAACACGGCTCCACAGAACATGTTGCAATGGAGTATATCAAAGCGGGTGCTACGGAATGTCGTCAGGCATGAGAAAGTCGTTTGTCTGCACTACTACGTAAAAACGCTAATGATTAGTCGGTAGGTGCACAAGGATTGACACGTCGCAATCTGCATAACAAATTTACTACATCATGTGCTTCCGTGCACCACAGAACTCCATCTGGTCACACAATAAACCAAACAATGGTCGTAGGTAGTACGGTACTTGGCATTATCGTTGCTTTACTGCGCCATGGCATGAAATACTTGGTACAGTGCTGACCAAATGCAAGCGTGAAATTTCCAGTCCCAAGTGTTTCCTCAGTAGTTCTCCTTTTAAAGAGAATCGAAGCCCCTTGACGTTGTTTTAAGCTTTATTCTCTTGCACGGGTTTCCTCTTCCTTCGCAACAACTTGTTTGTAGAACGGGGTAGAGCTTAAAACAATCCGAGCGCCATTCTGCATGTCTGCTCATGTGATCGTTATGATTATGATTAGTAATCGACAAGTATTCTGCTGCTGCCAGGCAATGGAGTTCGCAAGCTTCCGCGATTCAAAAAATCAAAAAGACGCTTGCGCTTGGTTCCTATACTGTTGTCTACTTGGAACAAAACACGTGATTGAGACGTACTCGAATACAATTGTGTGGTCGATGAACATGGTATTGCATGCAATAACGAACGGGTGAGAATGCAACGATGACTTCCCTATTAACGATAGGTTGACATTGTTTATGCGAGACACATCATGCTTATGGTCGTTCTGCATTGAAGTTTTCTGCAGGTGTACCCGCAAGGGTTTTACCATGTCCGAGTGATTACAGCTTTCTTAGATTAACAATATGCTGTGAAATGTCATTGCTGGGACATCAGCAGGTCGAGTTTGGCTGGACTATCAATGGATAAAATGATGATAAAGTGTTGGTCATTTTGTTGGGTTTTAGGACACAACATTACGGAGCAAGTTTGAGCTGTCACATAGCGTCATTCTTGAGTTCAATCACGATGCTGCTTCCCAAAGGAGATGCTAAGCTCGTGCGAGATGAGTTTGTCTTGCTAAGTCGGTTTCTGGATAAACACTTTTTAATCGACACGAAGACACTCCAAGACTGTTTACGAAATCATTACGCCTTCGCAGTGTCTGTGACTGGCGGTCGGATCATTAACGTTACAGTAGTCGCCACTAAGTGCACACGACTATTCTCAGTTGCTTAACTATCTCTCGGCACCAAATGTGAATATTTGGTCAATACCCTGGCGTCTTGCGCTGTTCTGGACGTATCATATCCTGTCAAGCTGTTCACGAATGAAGAGAATGGAAACATTGTATCCCTACTATTGCGAGGGTTACATTGGAGTGATGAAAGTGTCGAGTGCGAAGTGCCTATGGGACGACTGTTAGAGCTTTTCAATGTTAATGACTTCATCGTCAGCTAAGTTAATATTCATTACGAGATGGTATGGCCATTTGGCGCTTGAAAATGGATGAACTCGTAGCCTCATGAGCATTCTGAAGTAGCAAACGAAGGCTTACATAAGAAATATTGCCATGTCTAAATTGACCTTCGTACTGAATTTCTTAACATTGGCCTTATTGCTTTGATAGCGCAAAAGTACGAAAGGCCAAATCACCGTTTACCCTACAGACAAGATTACCGCTACGACATTGATACGCATACAGTTGAGCAATTCGCCTCCCACTGATTACTGGTGTCGTATCTTCATTTAACGATCGGGATAGTTTATACCTTACTAGATCAGAGAAGTATTTGCAGAGAACTTCGTTTCAATGTGATGTAATTACTGTAACGGGGTTACACTTAGGTGTGTATTGTACATACACACCTGCCACACCAATGTGGTGTGGCTGTACCTTGGGTACAAAGAATAGGCTTGATGTGACCGTTCCTAAAGTACGAAGGGTTGCAGGCACCGTAGTCACTATACTTATTTAAAGTATAGTGACCATGCATGTTTGCATAATAATAACAGGCTATAGAGCCAGTAAATAGTGACTAGCACTAAGTATAGAGTAGGTGCTTTTATATTTAGTGGTAGAAGATAAACATAAATATAAATCAGTTTCAAACCTGCTCTATAAGCATCACTGCTTGAGCGTTCTATTCTTCCTGAGGAATTGTATTATTGATACTAGTCTCTTTGAGACGCGGTTGTGACAACCGATAGGCACAAGCTTACGAGCTAGCCTAGGAGGGTTAAGCGCCCTAAGACGTAGAAGCTCTTGGAGCTTGTCTTCCTCTGTACATAGTGCATAAGTAGCTCGGCTACACCTGGTAGCACTTGCAGTCAATCCTTACCTGGGTTTGCGACTACTTCTCTGTGTGAGAATGGACATCGATGAGATATCAGCGGTTGGCCTGTCACAGGCACAACAGGAAGGGTTGAAGAAGCTGCTACCTATTCTTGGCCCTAAGGGCGTGGAGTACCTCATCGCCCAGGGCGAAGAAGAGGTTAACAAGCGTATTCATATGCTTGATGAATATAACAAAGCTCTAGTCGAGCATGCAAAGGCACGGATGATATCTTCTGCGCCTTCGCCCATGGCGACTATGGCGCAAGAAGCGGTCCGCAGACCAAAACCCATACAAATGGAAGTCGATAAGTTCGACGGCAAAGAAAGTGACAACCTTATGGTTTGGTTCCAACAGGTCGAGTCGGCTATGTTTATAGCCGACATCACCTATGAACCATACCGTGTGGGCTTTGCCACGGGTGGTTTAGCTAAACAGTGGGCATTCACATGTGGTGCATCACTACAAGATGCTTTTCTAACATGGGCCGATCTGAAGTTCAAATGATCCTGCAGTATGCACCGCCGAATCAAGCACACCGTAACTGGTCGCGGTTTTTGGCGTGTCACCAAGGCAAGCGTGAGCTTGCGGCATATGTGTAAGAGTTGAGAACTCTCAATGCTGCCATGGTCATAGACCCTATGCCTGAGGCAGTAACCGTCACGGTCTACATGGAGGGCCTCCGAGTTGGCGCTGCTAGAACGAAAGTCTTCCGGGTAAACCCGTCCTCATTTGAGGAAGCTGTTGGAGTGACATGGAATGCCGAGACCATCATTAAGGCCGCTAGGCCCGCCACTTATAACTACTTGTCTGATGGGTCTGTTCCCATGGACTATAGTCAAGTGGAGGATGAAGAAGCTGAGCTCCATGCTGCGGAGCAGC